GGGGTGGTCCGTCTTAAACATTTCCTGCTGAAAGTATTGAACTTACAATTAACGAAATGCCAGCAACCCAAATATAAGGATTTACGGCAAAATTTTATGATGATGCGGTATTAATTGATGATGCTGTAATTACTGAACAAGAAGCTGTCGCAGACAACCCAGAAGATGATAGTGTAACAGCGGGTGAAGCATCTACAAATACGTCAGAGATAGTAATGCAACACTGATACACTACATACAACATTGTAGATGGAAGCCCAAATACTTGCCGATTTTTATTTGCACGTGTAGGCCGTTAAACATAATCCTATCTATTGTAGTCCACTGGTGCAAATGTATACCAGATGTTGTGGAGACTCCTAAATCGACGAAACTGGTAGCATCAAACTCATCAAGCTGGAAAGGTAATAAGAAAACCCAGTAGCAGAATCTACCTAAAGAGATGTATAGTCATCGATTGCAGCAAACATAGAGCTTGTCCAACTACAGAAAAAAAAATTAATGGAGGGCCACAGACTCTAATTTCAAATGATGAAGTACAGATACGGCTGTTACAGGAAAAAGGCGACGCCGGAATCAAGGAAATCCAACAAGGATGAGTAAAATTATTATTCAAATAAGCACAGCTGACTTATATGTGGCATTTCATTAAATCTATATATTTACAAAAGTTTCCTATAATTTCATAAAAAATTGCCAAAGCAAAATTTTCTGGGATAATAATAATATTTATTTACTCTTAAAACACAATACAAAGAATGAGTAAATAAATATGAAGTAACGGCCCGTAGGAGGCATCGCCAGTACATGGACTATAGATGTTGCAACTGTATTATTGAAATATGAATAGAAATACAACTAATCAACAAATTATTTGATCACATTTACTATCAATTTGTATACGTCTGGCCTTGCCAAATAGAAAATCCATTGTTTTAACTTCTTCTTGAACTCATTCCCAAAGTGTAGATACCTTACATCGTCAGGTGAATGTATACGTATATATAATTCTGGATCTAAATAAAGGTATGATCGTTTCGTTATAGATTTATTTATTCTAGGTACAACTATCCCTTTTAGTTTATATCTTGTGTGGCGATTATGTTTAATTTTTTGGTCGTTATTGATGAATTTGTGATAGTTGGTTAGGGCATGTAAGAGATAAAGCTGTTTTAAGTCATTAACATGTGTATCTTTGTATAAGACATCAGTTAGATACAATTTTGGTGTGTTTTTGAAATCATTTTTTGAAAAATATCCAAATCATGAATATGGGTTCAGGATGCTGATATACCGAAGGTTAAATACGGTTTGATCAAGGCATGGTATAAGATATAGAGATATCTTTCTTTTAAAATGTTTTTGAGATATTTACTTTTATACGATGCATATCTAACTTTTTTTTAAATATATGGAATACGAACATCCCAACGCAAGTGTTCTGTTAATTTCTAATTTCTGATTATTTACTATAAATGAGATATTTGTGTAATTTGGTAGATGACTGGAATAGGCAGAAGATGGTAGACATTCTGTTATAGAGTAATTAATGCTCAAGTTGTTATTAAGCCACTGAATAATTTTGAAAAAAGCATTTTCAACTATACTTCTTAAATTAAACCAATTAGCACCTTTATAAAAAACCGCTGTGTCACTATTTTGCCAACACAGTCAATTTGAAATATATCATTTAAGTATATATTGAAAAGCATATGATAAACATTTTGTTACTGAAAAATGTAGGTACTTTAACGGATTCTTGTCTGTTGCATAAGTAATTTTCTAGAAATGAGTACATCTTTCTCCAAAAGCCAACTCTTTCCAATGTGTCTAACAATAATTTATGGTTTACTGTGTCGAAAGCTTTTCTTAGACTAACAATACATCACACAACTCCAGAAAATATTCATCACCAGCAATTTATTCAACAATGTCATCCATTTTCGATTAACATCAACCAAACCTTATATGCAACATAACCTACAAACTCTTAAACGCATGTCCATTTCACACCGATTATCATAAAGCTATAAAAATCTAGCTTGAACCGACGTTAAAAGGAGCCACTTCCCTAGGTCAACTTGACCGAAGTTTAAACTGCTTTATGTCCGTGAACCTGTATAGTATAACGTTAATTTTCCATTGAAAGCGGGTCAAAGTTGAACTTTGGTTAAGCCGGGTTGGTACAATCGGCCCTTACTGAGATCATCGTTAAATACACTGCTTATAGGCTGTGCCTTGACTCCTTTTCCCACCAATGAGCTCATGGAAAGGCAATTGTTAAAATTAAAGGTTCGCCTAAATTATAAAAAGAACAAAGCACTATAACATTTGAGGTATTTTCCAAAATTTTCGTAGGTGCGGAATTATAAAAAAATCAAATCCCTATAAAATTGTTTCTACTACTTCCTTACATAGGATGGATGGTTTCGAAGATTTTCGATTAAACGTGATTATCAAAATGGTTTCAAATGCTCACTCCTTATCAAGATTTGAACTTTTCTTTAAGAAGCAATAATATAACGATTCCACCAAAAATTTACTGTCCCAAAAATTGCAAAAAATTACCTGTTTCTGGCTAGTTTTATCATCTATATGTTACAATACTTTATATAACATGCACTGCATCTTGATTTGCTTTATAGTGAAACGGCATAGAACATTTGTTGGATAATCAGATATCCTTACGTGCTTCCACCAGTTCTAGAACAGACAAAGCTTCCTCGATTCGGCCCTGTGTCATCAGCAAGCGTTATATCGTGATTTATCCCTAAAGAATTAACGTCTACATCGAAACAAGCTTTTCAACGGGTAGAATAACCCATTGTGAGTACACTCAACGCTTGCTATTTCGAGTTAAAAAATGGAGCACTACGTACTTCATAATTTCTCATTTCGCAGTTAATTAAATTCAAGTGAAGCTAGTCCTTCAGAAGATGGCTTACAAGTATTGCAATAAATCTGGTTTGCAAATAAGCCGGGAAATCGTGCTAGGAACCGAAACCGAGATGATCTTATAATAATCTCCTAAGATGCTGCACGCTGATGCTCTTGATAATAAAAGTATTTCAGTTTTTCATGGGATAATAAATAAAATGAACAGGCATTTTTCCGGTGTTGATCCATTTCTCGATGAAATTTTCATCTTTCTCTGCTAATAGATGAAAAGCAGAAATGGGTTGTAGTATCATGATAAAGCATGATTTTTCTTCTATCTGGAGCCCCTGAGGCCTGAAACCGCAAACTGTTCTATGCTTTAAGACCCTCATCTCCTGATCTTGCCAGGCAGTGCATGAATGCATCTTTATCATATTCTTGATTGGATGTTTGGTCATAGGTAATGTCCACAAAGACCAGAAATATGAGATTTGGAGCCATATTGTCAGTCGCAGTTGCAGGGCGCCTTTATGCCTCCTTGATTGTCATAGTCTTTTCTTTCCTTCTGAAAGAATAGGGTATTTCAGGCTGATATAACAGATGATGTAAATCAAAAGCATGAACAGTTTGAGGGAAATAGATATTTGTAACATAACCTCAAAATATATTGCTGACATGGAACAGTGGAAATCTATGAAAATCAAGGAGGCCATAAGGGCATCTTACACTTGACTGACGACCCTCAAGTCATAGAGTGGGGATGAAGCCAAACGTGTCGACGATAAAGTAACTTAGTACATGCGTAGCAAATGAATTTCAGGTGCTATCCATGTGCCATCTCTTCCTGTTGCTGTCATCATGACTGCAAACAACTCCCATTTTGACAATTCGGACGAGCTGCAAGCAGAAATATTGTATAATATTGATAAACCAGGAAGGAATATACCTACAAAGCATGGCAAAACCTGAGTGAAATGGAAAACATTTTGAATCGGGTTTTCGCGCTGTACGTGGTAATAATATGTCATTATTTCTTGGTTTAACTGCCATATTAGCGTTGGTGACAATATATCACTGTGGAGCTTGAAGAAATCGAGACAAAGACAGTCGGAGTGTTGTCACTGCTGTGAAGTTCCATAATTATTCTTGCAGAATTTTTCTTCTGGAATATTACAAACAGAAATCCGAGGGCAGCACCGCCTGTAACTACTAAAGGGACAAAAAGTCCTTTTTATAGGTCGGGGAAACAAAAGATGTTTGTCGACGGTTGAAATCTTTGCCGCAACATCCGATCTCCATGAATATCGAGAATAAATTTTGACGTTTTAAGTTACCAAGATCAATACCGTTTAGGATTGCAAGTTTGTGAAAGGTTTCTTAGTTCAGGAGGTTGAAGATTGTAACACCTTCAGACCAATTCTGAGGAGAGGTGGTTAAATTCACCAATTCTGATTCGGAATTACTTGAAATTATCAGAGTTTTCAGATGCCTTATAGTGCATGTACTTAATGACCCTATTAACAGGGAAGCTAATAATTGTCAAATTGTTGGCATCCGGAGAAGTTGTGATATTTTGTCAAGAAAGAAGGCAGTAATATTATGGAAGCTGAACCCGAGGGGTCCCCTCTACTGTTTTGAGTGGAGTTGGCGCGGGGTGCAGCGCTACTGTGGAACATATTCAAGAAAACCAAAACGAGATGACGCCAATGATGACATCCGGGATGACACCGGTACTGGAGAATAAAAATGAGAACCAGAGACTTGTGAAGATAATTGCAAACCAAGCAGCCCAGATTCAGAGTCACTTAATGCCCAGGTTTTTAAACTTATTAGTATTATTAATAAATCAGTTCCCAATGTCTATTCTTCCAAAACAGCAAAACCTAGCCATAACAGTGACATGGCGTGGGTCTGGCGTGGCAGGGGCATGTGTCATCACATGTTCGTTTATGCAGCAATACAGACAGAAGTGATGTGGCGCCGGCGAAATAATTCGCGCCACCGCCGTACCACTTCGACACCACGAGTGGCCTACATTAGTGGCAAATGCCATACACCTGACAGCTACTTTTGTTGATTTTAGGTGTTTGCTAATCAAAATGCGGGACGATTTTCAATTTAATATCGAGTTCTGTGAACTAGTGGAACAATTTGCAGTTCTATATGATTACAGACGATCGGATTATTGCAACAGAAGTGCACAAGACCAGGCATGGGAACAAATATAAAAAAAAATCAGTGCAAATGGTAAGTAGGTACATGTTTATTTATTTTTTTATATTACAGAGTATCTGATTCCATTCATACGCAGTATCTATCCTGATGAGGAATTGGTGCGCGGTCTTTAAAATAGTTGCGGAGGTAAATCTCATATCTCTAGCGTTTTGTATTAATTGTACTGGAGTGGAATCGCCAACAATAACGTTTTCATATTGAGGCCTTGAGAATGTGCCATCACACTCCTTAATCGCGTTGTGCAACACACACATTGCTTGAATTAGATCATCAACTTTAGTAGGATCACATCGAATAAGTGTTTGTAGAAGCCCGAACTTTGTTGTAAGCATACTAAAAGTGAATTCCACTGATTTCCGTGCTCTGGAACATCTGACATTAAAAATCTTTCGTTCGTGACTTATCAACTCTCTTCGAGAGAAGGGTCTCATTAAATTTGAGGATAGGGGACAAGCCTCATCGCCTACAAAAAAGTAATGCAGCTGGTTCAGGTATATTCAGACGTCGTTCCCTCAACGCTTTTCCAAAACTGCTATTTTTCAAGGCTCGTCCGTCACTATTGCGTCCGAATTCACCTACATCGATTGTTAGAAATAGGCCATCTGCATCAGCCACAGCAAGTAAGACAATAGAAAAAACCCTTTATAGTTGATGAAAGCAGATCCTGACCGCGGTGGTGTTTTTATTCGAATATGTTTGCCATCTACGCTACCAATACAGTTGTGAAGATTCCACAATTCATGAAAACGTTTCGCTGTTTCTTCCCACTTAGTTTGAGTAGGTTTTGGCATATAGACAGGTTGTAATTTCTTCCATATGACTTGGGCGGTGTGATGAACAATCTCTTGTATAGTAGAATGACCTTTCAGGAAGTAGAAGGAAAGGGCTTTGCATGAACATCCAGTCGCGAAGTACCTGAAAATAGGCAATCGATGTTCACTTTGTACAGACCAGTATTTTATTTTAACGTATATTTAAATGTATAATCTTTGTTTTTGTTTCAGTATCCGAGTGTAAAGACCGCTGGAAGAATATATGAGGAAGCTATTCAAAGTATAGGGCAAAACTACAAACAAAATCAGGACAAGGAGCTAAACGATTATTATCTGGCCCCACATCTCTTCTTGGATCCTTTCTTGAAGTCTCGCAAAAGCAAAGGCAACATAGCTGAAGAGTCTGCATTATCAGCTGATGAGGAAGCTAATTAATATGAAGAAAACGGCAACATTGAGGTTCAATCAACCGATTACATTCTATCCACTCATTCCTCTCATTCACCTATACCATCTCCCAGTACTTCTGTCGATGATCACCTGTTAGCAATGAAAGCACCTAAGATACCATCACGGAAAGGAGATGATTTAAGAAAAAAAAAGGAGTTAGCAACCTCTATCAATGATATCAACCAGCAAGCTTATCAGTATTTTGAGAAAAAACAGAAAGTACTGGAGATCCAGAACGTCACGAAAACAAATACCACAGTTGATCCTCCTGATCCTGACCTGGCATTTTTACACAGTGTTCTGCCTGACATAAAGTCTATGAAGTCTAACCAGAAACGGCGTTTCAAAATGGGCATTTTAAATTTGGCCGAGCAAATACTATCCTCAACCAGTCTGGAAGCTACTACTCCACCAATGGATGGTTCTCAATCTTGGGTTGAAGATTCGGTGAATAGAAATCCAGGTTCAATCTCGCAAACCAACAATATGACTGAGTTTATACGATACAATAATTAATACCTGATATTACTGATTTTATGTTTTCTTTTATTTGAGTTAATTCAATTTACTTTAATATATTTTTTCAACTTACCTCAGCGTTATTAACAGACTCTCCTCTGGACTGACCGGTTCTCTCCAATTTGTTGATTTCTTTTCAAGATCTACCCTTACTAATGCTAGTATTTTATAAAAACATTGACTGGACATTCGATAGAAACTTTGAAAACGTTCAGGGTACATATTGAGCTCCCGCATAACGTTGAACGAACCACTAGTTTTCCATTTATCTAGTCACAAAAGATGTATCCAGTATCTCCTTCCTAATTTCAGAAGGTCTAACATATCTTGATCATCTTCGTCATCCGAAAGCATCGTCAGTCGTCACTCCGTGATCCACGCCTTGAGGGAAACTGAGTTCTGACATTTCAGTGTGAATTGAACGCGCCACGTCTGTTCCTCTACCGCACCACGCCAGTCCCACGCCACCACCACACGCGCGTTCTGTGTGGATTGCGCCTAACATACATTCAGGCAACCTAAAACCGTCTGTGTCTGTACCCTCTACTGATTCTACTAGTCAGACACGGGAAAGGCCTGTATCAGCATCTACACAGAGTGCTCCTCCTGTTATACCCCAAATGCAGTCTGATCCATTGGCTGGCTGCAAGTCCTTGCCATCCAGTGGATCTCTAAACACACAGGCCCAATCGCCTCGCCAGGGGCGTATTACTCCAATCGTGTTGAGAGATAAGACAAAATGGCGTACTTTAAACTATTCCTTCACAAGTGTTGGTATTCGTGTTGAAAGAGCAGTCGCCGTTGACGCTGGGATACGTATCATCCCCAAAACCGAAGACGATTATCGTCTTTTCAAAGAGGAAAACATTCCTTATCACACTTTCGCTTTGCCCACTGAACGCAACATCCATGCGGTTATCAGAGGGATCCCAGCATCAACCACCGAACAGGAGGTTAAAGATGAGCTAGAACATAAGGGTTACCGCTCCCTTTCACATCATTCACTTAAAGCGGAACGGCGGCGTGCCCATGCCCTTGGTGGTGGTGATACTGCCTAAGACGGAGAAGTCACACTAACTGTTCAACGAGCACGAATTACTGGGGCTCTCTATCATAGTCGAAGTTCAGAAAAACTCTCGACTTCTTGGGCAGTGTCACCTCTGCCAGAAGTATGAACACGCACAGTCGTATTGCACTGCGCCGCCGAAGTGTCTAAAATGTGCCCACGACCACATGACACATATGTGCCCTCAAACAGGACAAGAGGTGCGCAGATGTGCGAACTGTAGGGGGACCATCCGGCAAATAGTCCTACCTGTACATATACTCCTAGGTGAAATCTACAAGTCATCGCACAAAGACGAGCAAAGTCATACGCGGACGCAGCAACAGATGATACTTCAACTGCCCCTACTGTTTCGAGCTTATCTCCGACTACTTACTCAAAATGTGGACCTAGCAACAGCGCTCAGGTCCCTACAGCAGATTATTAGTCCCCTGATAAGCGCCACTCAGGCATTGCAGGCGATCTTTCCGCTAAATGGCTAGGTACAATAGCAGACAGCCTGCATTCATCAAAATTCTTTTCTGGAATTGTTTGGGTCTTAGGGATGTCCCCAAAAAACGGGAATTTCATCAAGCTCTTTTGGATGAAACAATAGACATAGCTCTGCTGCAGGAAACATTGCTTAATCCGGGAGATCGCCTAGCTTTCCCGAATTACGATCTTATCTGCGCTGACAGATTAACTGGACTGGATGGCGGTTTGACATTGCTAGTAAAACGTGGTATTGACTATTACAGAAGCACAAACGCTGAGATGCAGAGCATCCAGGCAGCTTCCATGGTAGTGAATATGACGGGAGGTATCTCGTTGAAAATCACATCGGTTTATCTCAGGTGTGGTGCCAGGCTGCAAGAGACGGAAGTCCTGTTTGACAAGTTCCGTTCAGCAAGCTCTGAATCGTGCAGCTGTACTACCAGTACAACGACACGGCAGACCTTTTCTCCCTGCAGACATTCGTCAGAAAATTCTTGACAAAAGAGCTGCAATTAAGCAAGCGAAGATGTCTTGTCACCCAGATGACATTCGCAGAGCAACGAATCTTGTTCATGAAGTGAGAAATGCTCTTCATGAATTCCGTAATGAGCAATGGAGCTACTTTCTCTCGGGGATGCTTGACTCAAGTATTCCCCTCTGAAAAGTTGTTAAGTCGCTCAGAAACGGAAAGCGGGAACAATTCCCGCACATCCACGGTCCTGGTATTGGTTACCTATCAAACAACAAGCGCAGCTACGTTATAGTCAAGCGGAATCGCATAGCAACCCTTTGTTGCGCGAGTCAGTAGACTATACAGTTCAGCAAGTTCTCAAGCACACAAGGCCGCGACTCGTATTGTGAACAAAATTAAATCGTGCGATTTTAGGTCCAGCCAAAATCATGATTTTTCTTCAACAACAATCTCAAAATTAATTTCAGGATCAACTTAAAATTTCCGAATACTAATTCGCAATGGCAAGGCACCACTCAAATTGACGCACTTCTTTTTTCTTTGCTCTCCCTCCTTCCTTTCTTTCTTCTTCCCTTCTTTCTCACTGACTTTGTTTGATATCTGGGCAACCAGACTTGACAGACCTACTGACTTACAAGACTTTAACCAAGAGTAAAGGTCCTACGGACCGCTCTGACAGACAATGACGAATAGTGCATGTACTTCTGTGTATGGTTCTGGATGACGGCACCAGCATCAGGCAACTTTAGGCGTTTGTTTTTTGGGGTATTGTATCCGCCAATAACTCGATTACAAGTAAAATTGCCTTTGAAAACATACGTACAGAGAAATCCATATATCACTGACGAGGTAATGTGTACGAAAGAGAGAGAGAGAGCAAGCAGTGTACAATACATGGTTTAGAAAAAGTGCACCGATGGCAACGCGGCAAACTGCACTACATCCTTGGCCACGTCACTCATTTTTCTTCTAACATACGTATTGCACGCTGCTCGCACCTGTCTCACGAACACATTACGATGTCAGAGGTACATTGATTTCACTAAACATGGGGGATTGAAAAATTAGTGTGGACTGTAATTTAACATTGTCAGCTAGATTGTTGGCAGCTGCTTAAATAAAGAAAATGGTGAAATATAGTCACGCTTTGTAATAAATTTCAAAAACCCAACACACACAATATTGTTACTTATAACTGCTTTTAAGGCCACCGATATCACTCCGTTAATGGTAGCGATGACCTCATCCCAACTCGACCTTATTTCAACTGGGACGTCGAATGTCTTTAGTGATCAACCCAGATTCTGTTTGGACATGTATAATGGTCGTAGAAGGCTGAGAAGACGATAAGGTGAAAAATGTGATTCCTTTGAAGCGCATTATGCACCACACTGTTGGAACTATGACTATTGCTTATAGAGGCAGGTCAGATTTGGTGCTCATCAGAGACAACATGACCTCAGTGTGTTTCCAGAACTACATGTTTTGCCTTATACACTGACAGAACTAGATTGGCCCATTTTTGAGACAATCAAGTCGATTTATTGGCTTGATCCCCAGATCTCCCGATCTTTCATCCATTGAATACGCCTACACCTACGTCTAGGATATTAAGGGAAGAATATTAATCCGTTTACCCCATCCTCCATAGTCTCCAACAGCACGTCAGCGCGAAATACAAGCTGCCTGTGATGAGATACGAGGGATGTCTTTTAAGTATTGCATATAGAAACATAGTAGGCCGCGCGGATCGAACGTCAGTACTGAATCTTAACCTCACTCTTTAGTAAACTTAAATTCAAAGTTTCACAACCATACGTGCAGTGTACTCACTACAGTGAATTTTTTAGTGCCACCCAGTTATTAGAAAAATGGAACTCAACCGAGAACATTTTCACACCATAATTTTTTACAACTTTCAGAGACAATTATCGCAACAAGAATGCCTTGCTGAGTTACTATATTTTGGCGACGAAGCGCCACATCAGTCGACAATTTCCCGTTGGTATGAAGAATTCAAAGTGGACGGATGAGTCTTAGCGACGATCTCAGGGTGGGTGTACCAAAAACGGCAGTCACCCAGGAAATCGTCGATGCTGTGCGCAAACTCATCATTGAAGATAGACATGTGATATATCGCGAGATTGAGGTGTCCTTGAAGATCTCAAAGACCTCAATTCAAAAAATTTTACATGAAGAATTAGGAGTAGCAAAACTAGTTTATTGTTGGATACCTCACCTGTTGACTGAAGAGCAGAAACCAGCCAGGGTTAATTGGTGTCAAAAAATGCTTGACCGTTTCAATTCCGGAAACTCAAAAAATGTGTACAGCATGGTTAGTGGTGACGTATCGTGGATTTACTGTTATGAACTAGAAAATAAACGACGCTCGGTTGTTTGGGTGTTACAAGGAGAAGAAAAGCCAACAAAAGTCATCTCGAAGTGTTTCGAAAAAGATGGTCGCGACATTTGTGTCAAAAGCGCATATTGCGACAAATCCTCTTAATAAGCAAAGAACTGTACTGTGGATTGGTATACCACCATTTGTTTGCCAAAAGTCATCACCGAGCTTCGAAAAATCAACCCCGAAAGAAGAATCATGCTCCACCAAGACAATGCAAGCTCGCACACAACCCAAAAAACAAGGCAGTATTTAACGGAAGAGAACGTGGAATTATTGGACCATCCTCCATATAGTCCCGATCTAAGTCCTAACGATTTATTTACTTTCCCGAAAATTAAAAACAGACTGCGTGGTCAAAGGTTCCAGTCACCAAAAGAAGCAGTTGACGCATTCAAAAATGCCGTTTATTTATCTGCCAGCAAACGCGTGGAATAAGTGCTTCGAAAATTAGTTCGAGCACATGCAGATGTGTAGTACTTCGAAAAACAATAAAGTCATTTAAAACTACATACCGCGTTGTTTTATTTCCATATGCAAGACTTAAAAGACATCCCTCGTACCCCATACATGTTTCTGAATACATAATATTCCGGAGGCGCAACAAATTATTATTTTGTTATATTTTTCCAACAGTTGAACTTTCCAAGAAATTTAATCGATTACTTACCTTACCCTAAGAGACATGAAGACAAAATTTGTTGTAATAAATTTATTATAACTGGTTTGCTACGTCAGTTAGTATATTTTCACGCATCCTTATTTTATTTACACCAGGTCGCGATCTCTAAATTCTCGCGCTTGTCTTGACGCAAAGTAAATGAGGTAAAGTAAAAGAGAAAACTAGCCATATAGAACAAATCTGATTATACAGGCACTCGGTAAAGTATTAATTAGCTAAAATTCCCCGCAACACCTGGAATTTCGGTGAATTTCTGAGTATTATGGAAAATTACAGGAATTACTAAGGCATTAAGGTGTACTTTCATTGAGTTGGTGGGAAGCGAAATTCCTTCGCTATTCAGTTACACACAAGCAAATGGCAGGGTGACATTATGGGAGGCACGTGTCATATTTGACACGTGCAAATGAAAAATATTCCCGTGGTTCCCTTCTCACCGCTTTTCCTCAGTGTTCATGCACGTTTAAGGTGCAGTATACGGTATTATGGTAAAATTCCTTGAAACTAGAGGAATTATTAGGAAATAATAGATATTACGAGGAAATTTAAGAAAATATTTCCCGTTATTGTAAAGATTATTGGCAGTGGTTGACTCTTCAACTTTGTAGTATAGCCGCTTATCGATACTCTAGATGTTCAGGCGTGTAAGATCGTTTGCATGCTGAATCACACTACGTAAAGGCTCGTAAATAATCCAATAATGAAATTGTGCATCCAACGATGCTTCCAAGGAAAAAATGTCACCGCCATCGCCTATTCGTCCCGGTGGGCGAGTAGGAGAATCGATAAGGCGATTGTTTGCCGCCACCAAAGTATATTTGCTTACGAGTAGTAGCTTCACTCAGCGAGGTGGAGCAGGTACTAAAGTTGGTCTATCCAAGAAATCCATTAATTAAAAACATAAGCAGCGTGTGAGGTGGCCCGGTAGTTCCCTCTCTTTATGCAATCCACTTTATGCTCAGTTCGAGCCGGAGCGCTCTACGAGTAAGTAGCATTTACATGTGCTTGTTCAAAGTAACCCTTTTTAACACGCTTCTATTTATTAAAACGCTTTTGTTAGCTTGCCCTGTATGTATGGAACGGAATCTTTTAGCATAATTTTCACCAATTTCCAGAAGTTTGATTAATACGATACTTCGCACAAGTATCAAGGACTGATGACATTGCAATAATTTGATAACAGTTTTCCATTATCCATATTAGGGCCGTCAGGATTAATAAATTTTTTTGTGGATCTCTGTAGGGAGTAAGAGAGATAGAGCTAGCGCGTTATCTGCGCATGCGTGCAGTTTCGGGCTTACTCTTTGTTGCTTCGGGCACTCGGCACAGCACAACGGAAGCAGATACTTTTTCAAAGTAGTGCCAGTCATTTATCTAGGGTCGCGACTGTCTGCTGCTGAACAAGCTTATGTAGCACTTAGTCATGTAAGATCTTTAGATGGTATTCGGATCGAAAAACTTGATTGCTCTAAGTTAGCAGGAAAAACCCCATGCAACAGTGAAGCTTTAAATGAAATGATTAGATTACGAAATGATTCGTAAGACTTTTCAATACCACATGTCCACAAAAAACTAATTGATACATGTAACTAAAAAATGAAAAATAGATCCCAAAAAAAAACTAAAAAACACTACAACTGAAAAGCATTCTAGATCAAAGGGATCTATTGAATGTTTATTACAGTCTTGCCTATTCTTATATGTCATCCAACATAATGGCGTGGGGAAGGAATATAGTGAGTGAGAGAGTGTTTGTGTCTCAAAAACGAATCCTGAGACTTATTTTCGATATAGAGCCACTTGAAATTTGTCGAGTTTTGAAATGTAACAATATATTGACGTTCTGTTGTATATATACATTTTAAATGTGTTGCCTTTGTAAAAGCGAATCAGAATATCTTCACAACTCTAGGGTATTATCGTTCATATCAGACTAGAAACACCAATCTTCTAGCTGTACAAAATCACACCACACCATATTTTAAGCAGTCACCATATTGTAATTGTGTGATGTTATTTAATAAACTACCTATTTACATTAGAAAAATAGAACATTATAATAAATTAAGAGATAGTGTGAAATTACTTTTGCAGAACAGCTGCTTTTACTCAATACACAAATATTTGAATGCCGAATTCTAGGCGCTTTAGCAAGGGTAGGTGTGTTTGTAAGTATACATTTTATCTGTTGTAATGTTTGCTGTTTTTTTTTATGTTTTACCTAATATTTTATACTATAGATGACTTGCCATATACACTATTGTGTCGCTTTGGTTAAAAATAAAATACAAATACAAATACGCTTTTATAGCTAACCGAACTGAAAACTAGAAAATAATGTTTAATTCCAAAAGCTTATATTACAGTAGCAGATGGTCGAACAATCATTCATAATTAATGACTTCATGATAAAATTATAATAAAATATAGGTTATTAAAAGAATAATTCAGTTCAGAGTAAAAAACGTTGGGTGCATTCTACTACATTTTCATAACTCTCTTCTCATAGATAGTTGCCAATAGAATAATTGTAACATTTAATAACATAACCAGGAAGGTGCACCGCCCTGCATGCAACCTGGGCAACCTCGATGGCTGACAGCGTTCAGGGGTCCTATCACGTGAAGGAGGCGTGACTGAGTTTGGGTTCACTTTCTTTCTTCGACAGATGAACTTAAGGCAGTGCAAAGATCACTGTTCGCCTTCGTATTACGATAAAATTCAACCAAGTAACATAAACTCTCAGTAAAATGTTATTTGCTGTCATTTTTATGACATTGTCACAAATATTACCTAGTGTCCAAAGATGCTTCCCGATTCACTTACCATCACTTGTAATCCTGGTATGTGTTTCTAAATCACTTGGTAATTTAATACCGTACACAGAAATAGAATGAAAATTGACATATTAAATTTCAATCTGGAATACTCGAAAGCTTTACCTTCAGAAGGCCAAAATTATTAAAGAGCCATCTAATGACACTTGATGACTTATTTCGAACCACGTTTTCTGGGACCAGTGTATTTGACTATAAGGGATCCGGGTAGCTCATTCATCGTGAAAAATATGTATTCTGTCAGTTTTGAGCAGTTTTCGATAACCGAATAAAGTAAGCATGAACTATGAAAATGACAAGTGGCAACATTTATTCCCAAGGTGTTGAGCACCGGAAGAAAAGTGCACTTCTGCCGTTCCAATTATCAGTGCTTACGTTTATCATTGATACAGATTAACCAACTCTCATCATTATTTACACCTGTATCAAATAATTGCCATACTATACGCGTGTACCATAAAGAAGCAGAAAGAAATGTAACGTCCACTATATAAGGCCTTTCAAGATGCATTGTTGTTATCAACAAAGGAGGGAGGTGGGGTATCAGCGTTGCAATACCTCGTTAATAAAGTCATATAAGTAATGTTCCAACGTTTTTGTAACTCGAGGCAATATTTTGAATAAAAATAATGCACATCCGTGCAACATTTTTTCTATGATTCTTGAGTGTGCTGTACCGGAAAAAGAGATCCAGCAAAATGAAGTGACAAGGCAACCAGAACGGCAAATGAATCATCGGCAATGGGTGAATTTTATGAAAAAGTATTTTGCGATGTTTTTAGGAACGATATTTATACCATAGCTGTATAAGTGAAAATAATAATGATGCAATTTTTCTTCGAAAGGTTCTGTATACGATCTTTGTACTGCCTCAAGCCACTACGTCGCTACCCCGCAGAAAGCAATGAGAAGTACAGGACCTCTTACCTGGAGCAACTACTTTCCCCGGAATCAACAATAATTGTCAGTCGCTAAAGACCGTCTAAGAAGTTCGCATATTAGAGGACCTCCGGCTGTGATCCAACTATTTCTAGTCGGTAAACTTTGGCCGCTACTATACCTGCTCGGCATGTCGCGCAAAGTGAAGGAAAACATCTGATCTCCGGTTTGTGGATTTATAGGGTGCGTCGAAATAAGGGATGAAACATCCTATTTGGCACCTGCGTATATCCGGCTTTTTTTCTATAAATAGGGCCTACAGTACAAATGGAAATGGAAAAAGTAAGCCCATAAGAGAGAATGGCGACATTATCCTAAAGTAACATCAAAGTCACAGGTAGTTTGAAAAGAACAACTTCATTATTTTAGCTCTTTGTCCTCAAGGCTCAATGTGAATTAACTTGCATATAGATTCATTTTCAAAATGACGTGCACTCACTTCATCGAACAGAAATATAAATTTCAAATCTATGAACTCCCCAGACATATATTTTCTGCTCTTCTCTCTTTTTTGAAGCATACTTTAATTGCTGATAACGCAAATATCATGAGTTATGACCAAAGACCTTGTATGTTTTGTACTATGCAACGATACAGGTGTTCTAAAATAACATAAATCATCATGCATTTAATCTACGTGGTCGCGATAATCCATCAGGTCAAAACGTGATTGCCTAGTGATGTTCAAACTACCTCATATCGATAAATGACACACAACTCTGACGGATCTGTCCACGCCAGATCTGCAGACAGGGCCGTATTTTGTTGTGACTTTTTGTACGCTACGAATCGATTCATTCTAATAACGCGTTTATTTGGAAACGTTTCTACGCAAAAAAACAATACAAGCAATATGGCTACTAGTGATCATGACAATACTTCAAGTCAAATGATTCTCATCAGTGTTTGGTGTAAGTGATTCTAAATACGGCCCTGAGTTTCACAGG